CTAACTACTACTGTCAGCGCTCCTCCTGAGTGCTGCGGCTGAATCCTGAAGACTACTCGTGCCTACTGTCCAACTACCTACCCGTGAAGTGCATGGAAACTTCCTGTGTACTACTCGGGTGCCTCCTGACTGCAGGCGAGGCAGTCCAGGAGGCTGCTCTTGCCAATGCCGAAGGGAGGAAGGGGTTGCCGCTGCAGCTCCTGCTTGAGCTGTCGTGGGGAACAGGCCAGAAATAGCCTGTTCCGAAACCCTGTTTTTGTGCCTGAGTCTTAGAGTAGGTCGAACACAATGAGGGCCTGAAAATGGCCCTCCGTTCCAGGCTGAAAAGCCTCTGGGCCTGAAAGGCCCAGAAATAGGCTGAAAACGGAATAGGGCCTGCAGGCCCTCGTTTTTCAGTTTCAGGCTGAAACGACCGGGGCCTGTAAGCCCTATTTTCTAGGCTTTTAGGCCGAAAGTGCGGGACGGGCCCTGCAGGTCCGTGTGGCTACGCAGTATGCCACACCCCCCCCTCCTTGAAAAACCGAGCTTACCTGCGAGGGCGAAGCTGTCTGTCTGAGGGAGGGACCACAGTCCGGGTGGGAGGGGCTGGTCGTGAAGCTTCTTGAGCTAACCTTTGTTTCTCATAATGCGTGTAGATCAGCGGTGCGGATGCTTTCAAATCTGCTCCTGAAATCCACCGAGTGTCGCCGCGATCGCATGCTTTGAATGTAACTTTTTACTGTCGCGGCTTGTTGCCGTACTTGGGATCGGTGATGAAGCGGTCAACTTCCTGATGACCATCCATAGAAAGAAGGTCCTGCGATCGTCGGCCCGGAAAGTCGTCGCTCTTAGCTGGTGTGTATGTTGCCAGCTTCGAGGCGTGAAAGACTGGATGGACCGTCAGATGCGGGGGGATGTTGATCACAAATGAAGGGTCATCGGGCTCATCGCCCGCGGCTGATGTTATGGGCCATGGTCCAAACCACTTGGGAAGCAGTTTGCATGAGACATCCTATTCCAGTGCAAACTCTTCCGCGGAAACCCAAACCAGGTCGCCGGCGCGGATGGGACATGGCACGCGATGCCTGTTGGCTTGCTGTTGCATGCGGACTTGAACCTTTTGCATATTCGCGCGGGCTTGAGCCAGCAACTCCCTGTACTTCCGGACGGAAGCGGGAGATCAAGCGGCATCGATGTCGGCTGGTCGTGGGAGGAGAAGGTCAGCGAAGATACAGCCTTTCCGTCCACCGTGGTGCAACTCGAATGGAGTCACGCCGATTGCCGGGTGTGCCAAAGTGTTGTAGGCGAACTCGATGTTGGGGAGGCGGTCAACCCAATCTTTCTGGTCTGGACGGATGAGCGTACGAAGCATCATTTGAGCGGTTTGATGTGCCCGCTCCGTTTGCCCATCCGTTTGTGGATGCTGAGCCGAACTTGGTTTCATCTTCGTGTCGGACTCCTGCATGAGAGCAGTCCAAAATGCCGACATGAAGCGAGTGTCGAGGTCGCTGACTATGTCTTCTGGTACACCGTGGCCACAAATCCAACCGGTGTGCAAGAGGCGTGCCAGCTCGCGAGCCATGGAGTAGTACTTGCAAGGGAGAAAACGCGCATACTTACTCAATCGATCCACGACCGTGAGGATGCCATCGTGTCCGAGGCGGTCGCGGGGGAATGGTCCGGTGACATCCATGGCAATGGAGAGACCGAGTTCCTGCGGGATCGGCATCGGGCGCAGCTCGCCGTAGGGATTGTGGTTGCGGGGTTTGCTTCATCGGCAAACTTCGCAAGAGTCGCAATACCTCGTGACGTCGGTGATGAGGTCGGGCCATCGGAATCGCTGTCGAAGCCGTGCAATAGTGCGGTTGACTCCGAAATGGCCGCCGAGTCGCGAATCATGATACTCGCCGAGGAGGCGAGTCCGAAGACAGTGGTCGCGTGGGACACATAGTAAGTCCTTGCCCAGTAAGCCCTTGCCCCGCGAGTGCAGGAACAAGTACCCATCGGCGATGCGATAGTGGCTGGCCGGCGGGTGATMCGAAGATAGCTGCGCATATAGCGTGGCGAAGTCTGGATCGGACTCATAGCCCCTGATGAAGTGTCGCTGAAGCTCCTCGTCGAATGCGAAGGCATGATGTGTCATAGCGCAAAGATCAGGTCTTCGCGAGAGTGCATCTGTTGCGCGATTGGAGAGGCCGGGAAGATGTTTCGGTGTGAAGTCAAATTGGTCGATGAAGTACATCCATCGTCCGATCGTGCTGCTCACCGTATCCTGCGTCTTGTAGTAAGTCAGTGGGTTGTTGTCCGTAACCCATGTGAACCTACGACGCCCAAGGAGGAAGTGCCGCCATCGCTTGAGAGTCATCACGAACGCGAGCAACTCCTTCTTCCTTGCATCATCAAGCGAGTTGATGGGAGGCACTTTGTGGCTGGAATACTCCACAGGGTGCCAGTCGTCGCCGTCGTGTTGTTCCAAGACTGCCCCAATGCCATAGCCGGAAGCGTCCGTAGTCACTCTCGTCGGCAGGGTGGGGTAATAGATGCTAAGGACGGGTGCCATGAGCATGGTCGTCTTGAGTGTTTGGAATGACCGGCATGCATCGTCATCGAATACGAATGGCACCTTCGGCGATTGTAATCTCGTCATAGGTGCAACAATCCTTGAGTATCCGGTGATGAATCGCTGATAGTAGCCCGCCAACCCCATGAATGAACGAACGTCTGTGGTGTTGGTGGGCTCGAGCCATACGCGGAGGGCCTCGATCTTGTCCGCAAGCTGACGGATGCCTTGCGGCATCACATAATGTCCCAAGTACTCCAGCTCCTGCCGCGCGAATTCGCATTTGTCGCGGTTGGCTTTGTACTTGGCTTGTCGTAGCCGCTCCAAAACGGTGCGCAGGTGTTCCACATGCTCGTCCAAACTCCGGCTGTACACCAGGATATCGTCGAGGTAGATAAGTACGAATCGATCCAGCATGTGTCGGAACTCCGTTGTCATAGCCGCTTGGAAAGTGGTCGGGGCATTCGTAAGGCCAAATGGCATAACCAGCCATTCGAAATGCCCATATCGCGTCTTAAACGCGGTCTTGTAGCGATCCTCCTTCCGAATCTTGAGTTGGTGATATCCCGACTTGAGGTCCAACTTGGAGAAGAACTTGGCGCCACCCAGTCGTTCGAGAAGGTCGTCGATGCGTGGGAGAGGGCCAGCGTTTCTGATCGTCTGCGCGTTGAGCTTGCGATAATCGATGCACAACCGCAAATCCTTGTTCTTCTTCCAGACGAAGAGAACAGGAGCACCGTATGGCGATGAGCTAGGCCGTATCCAACCTTTCTCTAGAAGGTCGTCGAGTTGTGCCCATAACACACTTAACTCTTCCTCGCTCATTCGGTAGATGCAACCGCGCGGAGGTACGGCCCCATCCTCGAGGATGATCTCGTGGCGGATGGGCCGATCCGGTACTGCTCCGTGCGGGCCTTCGAACACGTCGCCGTAGGCGTCGAGAAACTCGATGATGCGTGGATCCGAAGATGAGTCCGTCGGTGAAGCGTCATGGGGCGGGAGGGTGTGGAGAAAACACACCCCCATCTCCTCGATGTCGTCTCTGACGATGGAAGCTCGCATGCTTGCGGCGGACACCACGTGACAGTTGATTGAAGGGTGAGGAAGAGCTACCGTGCATGGGACTAGTACTCCGTTCCGATCACGAACGTGAACGGTGCGGCGGTAGAAGCTCACCGGGTGATCCTCGCTTCGCAGCCATGACATACCCAAGATCATGTCGAATTTGGTGTCCAGAATGTCAAAGGACACTGCCTCACTTGCGTGAGGGGCAAAGTACACTGGGACGTCATCAATGCACCAGTCGATTGACTTGTGCGTGTGACCATCCGCCAACGTGACTTGCATGGGCTGGGACTTCCTTCGGACTCGTGGGCCAAGGCCTGCGCGTACCATGAAGTCCTGACTCATGTAGTTGCGAGATGCTCCGCAATCGATCAAAGCGCTGCACCTCGCCTCTCCGATCTGAATGCGTATATATAGCAATGGTGCGTCGATGTCGTCGTACCGTTGCGTCTTGAACTCGCGGTCGATCTTCGCAATGTAGGCGTGAAGGTCGACAACCTCTACTCCGGCGTCCATCAACGGAGTTGGTACTGCAGTGTGCAAGTAATCCCGCAATTGTGCCTTGAGCACGTTGCAATGCGGTTTCGGCAATCGACCGAACCGGGGAAGGGGCATCCATTGGAAGTCCGCAAATGTCAACGGGTCGAGCTCTTCAAGTCTTGACCATGACATTGAATCCCCGGTGGTAGATGGCGGCGAAGCTGCCGAATCGGTTGCTGATGGTGATGAAAACGTGCATGCGGTAGATTGTTGCACGTGGAGCGGTTGGTCCAGCGGTGGGACCAAGTGGACAACATAGTCCTCGTAAGCATACCGAGAATTTACGACATTCGCATCCTCCCCAGATGTGTAGGAGGCCGCTAGCAAGGCGGCCGAATCTAGCGGAGTGGGAGGTGGAGTCGCCTCACCTCCCGCGAAACTCAGTTTCCCGAGTTAAGACGAGGCCGCACATCCTCCTTGGCCTGATCCTGGCAAAGGGAGGTCTTGTGCTTGGTGTTGTTGCACCAGTAACAGCAGCCGTAACGGTCGAGGTACTTGTACTCGGCCTCGGTCAAGTTGAACTTGACCCCCGGTGCTGGCTGTCCGTTTCCGGCTTGCGATGGTGATTTCGCCTTCCCGTTCACTCGGGGCTTGTTGTTGCTTCGCGGCTGGACAACAGCCGCCTGATCTCCCTCACGTGACGCTTGGGTGGCTGTCGGGTCTTCCACAATATTGTCCGTTTGGACTGCAGCGAACTGCTGCGGTCGCGGACCAGTTCTTACCTTCTCGACATAGGTTGGCTGCCACGTTGACTTCTCGTGTGCAGCCGCCCTGTTGGTCTTGATTATCTCCCTCGCCTTGTCAATGATTTCAACGAAGGTTGCATATTGCTTGCGATCACCAAGTGTGAGGCTCAATGCAACACATGACCTGTTATAGAAATCGCGGCGCAGATGCGGAAATGGTAACTCCAGATCGGGTGTTGCCGCGATCTTCTGCCATTCCGTGAGCCAGTCACGTGTTGCTGTGTTGCCTTGCGTCATGGCGAAGAGACGGTTGATGCCGAGTGCAGGTGTGTCGTCCACGATGAACCGCTTCTTCCATAGCCGTGTTAACTCTTCCCATGAGATCTTGTCTTTCAGATCTGCGACGTCGACGCCGTGGGTGGATGCCAGGTGGCTTAACCGGATGTGGCATCCGCCCTTTGAGTTAAGAAACAGGGCACCGACGTACGCGTGCTTGGCGACTTGCAGAATCCGAAGTTGCGTCGTGAAACCTTCCCACTAGAGGACCGGGTCCTGATGCGTGTAGTCATCGAACTTCTCAATTTGAAAAGTTGGCATCTTGTAATGCTGTGTGTTGTTGCCATTCTTGTTAGGCAGGTGCAGTTGCTGGACCTCGGTCTTCAAGGTATCCAACTGATTGTTGATGGTGGTCGGCTCAGCGAAGGTGCTGATGTCGCCGAGCATTGCGACGACGTGGTTGACGCGTTCCTCCAGTTGGCGGTTAGAGGGTGCACTGCTGGACACACCAGCATCTGGTCCTGGTATAGCTTGCTCCAGGTCCAGTACACGAATTGAGTGTCCGTGTAGCATCCTCGTGGCTCTGCATTGTCCGGCGGAGGTTCGCCAACTCCTAGTGCTGTTTCTGCAGATCCTGGTACTGTTGTTGCAGTTCCTGGTTCTGTCTCTCTAACTCGGACTGTTGATAGTTGCAAGCGTATAACAACCGTGTCACGAGTTTGGAGAGGAACTCCTTGTGCTGCTCCTCCGGTGTCGCGCCGTCGCCGTTGGACGGTTGAAAGTGCCAAGAACTTGAGTCTTTCGATGCTGGCGGCTTCATGCCGCTGCAGCAGATCCTGGGCTTCCTTGCGGCGTGCCTGGGTATCTGCGTCTGCTTCGGCCTGTAGCCGCTGCTTCTCAGCTGTTGCCGCTGCTTCAGCCTGTAGCCGCTGCTTCTCAGCTGTTGCCGCTGCTTCAGCCTGTAGGCGGGCAGCCTCGGCTGCCAGCTGGCGCTGTTCCTCAGCCTCGATCAATGCGAGCTGAGTCTGCAACCGTTGTTTGTAGTCGGCAATAGACTCGTTGGCCAGTTGGCCTGGCATGCCCAGAGTTGCGCCCGTCATGGTGGCGGGGCAATGTTGACGTGGCACTGTTGCCGTGGCACTGTTGCTGACGTGGCACTGCTGATGTGGCACTGTGGCTGACGTGGCACTGCTGATGTGGCACTGTGGCTGACGTGGCACTGCTGACGTGGCACTGTACCAACTCGGAAATGCATGCGAAGGGGTGGGTGGGAGGGAAAACGTAGGTAGGCAACCAACCCAACAATACTTTCCTCCGGCCCTAATCAACAGATAAAAAAAAATAAAAAAAAAAGAGGACTACTTCCTTTTTTTTTTTCTTTTTTTTTTGTATATCTGTCAATCTATTATGAGTGAGACATGTCAGAAGAGTACTATGAACGAGATCTAGGCTAGGTTCCGCAAAGTTTCGGCTTTCACAAACTGCGATCTTGAAAAAAAAAAACAAAAAAAAAATTGTGAAATGGAGTAAAGATGCGATTTTCAGAAAAGAACAAAATCCAGTTTCTGAGAATATGGCAATCTCCGAAGATGCCTAACGAAATGTTGGTAGGCTTCGCAAGATTTCGGTTTTCAAAAAAATTTTGCGAGATAGAATGGAAATTCGATTTTCAGAAAAGAATAATTCCGGTTTCCGAGAATATGACCACTTCTATCGTTATCCCAATATGCCTAGAAAACGAATACTAACATCAGAAATTTTCAGCTATGTATGCAAAATATCAGAGAAACAAAATGCTACTATCGGGAATTTTCAGACAAAACGAAATGCGATTTGTCAGAAATTTTCAGATATTTGTT